GACAAATTAAAGCAATCGGTGAGCATTATATTATAATTTTTTCTATTTAGAAAAACCAACGAAGATAATCATGTTTCTATCTTTTGTAGTAATTACCGCTATAATATTTCAATATTTTAATGTAACAATGATTACTTCAACAAAATAAATTTTGAAAAAATTGACTTTAATATTAAAATGTATACAAATAAAATAACTTTATTTTATGTAAAATAAACTATTAAAAATATAACAGTATACCATAAATAACTGGCATTTTTTAATGTCAGTGAAATAGATGAAGAAAATTGCTATTTAAATGTTCATAAATTTTTATAAGAAAAAATTTTTTAATAACTATATTTATGCGAATTAGTTAAAGAAAATGAATACTTGTTGTATGTACATATATATAATATTGTAAATTGTACAAATAAACAATTAAATTAATTATTTCTTTAATTAATCATTTGCTACAACTGAGTTGTAACAAATGATTTATTGTTATTTTGGTACATGATTATTAAGTAAAATTTTTCAATTTCATTTTTAGAAATTATACATCTAAATTTGTCTAGTAATGTTTAATTGTGTAGTAATCCTTTTGTAGATAAATATTTTATATTTTGTATTTTTTAAATTTATCTTTTTATAATTATTATTTTTGCATATTTACAATAACATTTTTATTTAGATGCAAGAAGGAATTGATTCTGAGAGAATCGCTGTATTTTGAAGATGGAACGGTAATATTGCATTTACATTACACTATTTAAAATTTTTTTATTATTAATAATTATTTTCTCTTTACAATATTACAGAAATTAAAAACTTATTGAAGAAGTCCAATAGTGGCAAATATTTTTTATCAAAAAGTCAGCTCTCCCATAAAGATGCAAATGATTTAGCCAAATTTATTGTTGACCATCTCCTACGAAAAACTTGCAGGTATCATACATTATTTTTCATTAATGTTACACAATATCATTGTCTTCTATACTCGAATTTTTACATTACCTTCGAAATTAATAAGATATCGTTTTTTTTTAAATTATATTATATTATGATAATAATGAGGTTAATGCTTGAGCTAGAAAGTATTAAATTTAATAAGAAAATCTGGAATTGTTCTGCAAACTGCACAAT